AGGAATAAGGATCAGTTTCCACTTAATATATTTTTTTGATGCACCCATGTTCGGATCAATTCCCACTTAGTACATTTTTTTTGTACACCCATGTTTGAAAAATTCTAAATTTGCGTATGATCCTAAAGTTATATAAACATATGTTAATTCAGAAAAGTGAAATGATTTCAGCTTTGAAAGTGTCAATAAATAATGCTAGCTATGTTCCACTGTTGTTTCATCATCGAATATATTAGACAGCAGTGCTGGCCAATGTTTCCTAAAAATTGTCCTTTCAATATAATTATATATATAGTAATTTGGTTTAATTTATTTCATGGTCGTCCTTGTCACATTGGCTTTTATGTCGTGCTTGATAGATGTAAAACTTATATTACACGTGGATAAGATTTTAGGGACCAAATATTTTTTATCAATTTTGATTGCCGGTTGGGTTACAGTAGATCGACTCTCAGTGTAAAACGAGTCAATTTATGATATATTTTCGAAATATGTTGTAGTCATGATTAGTTTCATTGAGATAAGTTACAAAAAGTAAAGTGTACAATGAATAATTTTATTATGAAGAGGTCTTTATTTAAAGGAGTAAAAATTCACACAACATATTTATGTAGGATTTACCTCAAATATCCACTAAATCAGAGTAGTTTTAGATTATTACCCTATAATCAAAGGGACTAGTTTTCCAACTGCTCCTTTCAAGATTCTACCCCATTCTCGAAAGCCTTTTACAATTCAAAAAATAAATACTTGTTACAAATCTTCTATAAAAGTAAATAGGTTGCAATTTAATTGAACAAATCGAGAACTAAAACAATAGCTTCTTAGAAACACATGTTCTCTTTGTTGACTTTCACATAAATAATTCCACATTTATAATGGGTAATGCTAAATGACTAGAAAATTTGGCCAGAAATTTGAAAACTCTATAATATCCTCTTTATTTTGAAACTGATATTTTTTTTATTTTTTAATTAAAAGGTATTAAAGTTAAAGGGGTAAAAATGTTCAAAAAAGTAAAATAACATAGTGTGAAATATGTTATTTTACTATTCTGACTGCCAAATTCCGGCCGAAAGGATTTTTCTTGTATGTGTGAATGGCCTCTTCTTTAATACTCTCATGTCCCTAATTACTTATCCATTTTTTATTTGACACACCTATTAAGAAAACAATATTGACACAGTGAGTTTACCATTTTACCCCTATTAATTATGAAGTGGATGAATTAAAAATTAAAATTTTTCAAGAAGTTCCATCTTTTTCAAAGTAATTAATTGAGGGTATAATAGGTAAAAAAAAATTGTCCTTTCTTTGATTTGTCAAAATGGACAAGTAATGAGGGACAAATAGAGGAAAAGTGGACAAGTAATGAGGGACAAATAGAGGAAAAGTGGACAAGTAATGAGGGACAAATAGAGGAAAAGTGGACAAGTAATGAGGGACAAATAGAGGAAAAGTGGACAAGTAATGAGGGACAAATAGAGGAAAAGTGGACAAGTAATGAGGGACAAATAGAGGAAAAGTGGACAAGTAATGAGGGACAAATAGAGGAAAAGTGGACAAGTAATGAGGGACAAATAGAGGAAAAGTGGACAAGTAATGAGGGACAAATAGAGGAAAAGTGGACAAGTAATGAGGGACAAATAGAGGAAAAGTGGACAAGTAATGAGGGACAAATAGAGGAAAAGTGGACAAGTAATGAGGGACAAATAGAGGAAAAGTGGACAAGTAATGAGGGACAAATAGAGGAAAAGTGGACAAGTAATGAGGGACAAATAGAGGAAAAGTGGACAAGTAATGAGGGACAAATAGAGGAAAAGTGGACAAGTAATGAGGGACAAATAGAGGAAAAGTGGACAAGTAATGAGGGACAAATAGAGGAAAAGTGGACAAGTAATGAGGGACAAATAGAGGAAAAGTGGACAAGTAATGAGGGACAAATAGAGGAAAAGTGGACAAGTAATGAGGGACAAATAGAGGAAAAGTGGACAAGTAATGAGGGACAAATAGAGGAAAAGTGGACAAGTAATGAGGGACAAATAGAGGAAAAGTGGACAAGTAATGAGGGACAAATAGAGGAAAAGTGGACAAGTAATGAGGGACAAATAGAGGAAAAGTGGACAAGTAATGAGGGACAAATAGAGGAAAAGTGGACAAGTAATGAGGGACAAATAGAGGAAAAGTGGACAAGTAATGAGGGACAAATAGAGGAAAAGTGGACAAGTAATGAGGGATACAGGAAATCCTCGAGTATCATATAATGTAATGATGATTGGGTGCATATATATATATATGTATGTATGTATGTATTATTAATTTTGGATCTATAATTTTAATGATTTTTAGTGATAACAACCTAAATGTCAAATCGATCAAATTTATATTATAGATCTACCTTTTTATAATAATGCACCAATCATCTCGAAAATCCTGGATACGCCACTGCTTATTTAAGACATGCGTAAAAATTTATTCTTGCATAATGTCTCTCCTTCTTCTTTTCTTGATAATTCTTGTAGTATATCAAAACTTCAAATTTGACCTAGCTCAATTTGACTTATAACAGTATTATGCACGATGGTTAAGCTTATGCTTTCAAGTTTCAAGTCGATTAAATCAGAGACAAATCTAGGATTTTTTGAATATGGGTGCACCAAGAAAAATGTATTAAGTGGGAATTGATCCTCAGTCCTCAAAGTCAAAAGCTCAATATTTAACTATGTGGATCAACTAGACTTTTTATAGTACGGATGCGAGAATATAATATTATACAAATGTTAGAAAATATATACATAAAATATCTAATTTTACGAAGAGACCACGGATTTGGGTGCCCTATTTTTTGCACCTAAATTCGCCACTGGATTAAACGCATGAAAATGGAGCACTTCGAACATTGCACATTTATTCACGAAAAAGTGAGTGCAAAAACCAGGGACATACATCAACCAAAATAGTAAAAAAAAAAAAAAAGACCCTCAAAACTTCAAACACTAGTGATGTAACATTATATTGGAAATCATATCCCCATTTATATAAGATGGTTATACTAGTAAAACTTTTGAGCACGTTGTTGCAAGAAAAAGGAACTACGTACTACTACTTTCTCACTCCCGTTTTATGCGACATTATTTGATTACAGTGACAAAGTTAGAATTTTTTAATAAGGAATTCAAAATATGAAGAAGGAAACACATGAACTAATCGAAGGAGATTCGACATCTACTGTATATACATAAAAATAATTTTAACCATGTATAAATAGTAAATATTTTTCGCCGAAGGAGGTTTGGATGAACCCGCTAACAATATGCTGGCTTCGCCCCTGTTTGATTGGACATTTTTTTTTAAACAAAGTTTTTATTTCTCGAAATTTATACTTTAGAATTTTTTAAAATTATTTATATGATTATAAATCATCTCATTAAAAATAATAAAAACAAAAGAAGTTTATAATTGGGTAGTTGTGCAACTTTATTTTGAAAACTTTCTTTAAAGTCGTGAGACTATCCAACAACATTCTCTCTAACGCACAAAGGTATGAGTAAAATATGTGTACATTCTATCTTTTTCAGATCATAGTTATGAAATCATACTGGATATGTTATAATTCTTGTTATGGCTAAGAGTAATTAACATGTAAAACTCTATAATTGAATTATTTTTAAAAATATGAAAATGTATTGTTGCTTATGGGACAGACTAAAAAGTAAAATATATTACATACAATGAAAAAGGATAAAGAATGTCCCTAAACTGTCACAAAATGTATAAATATATCTTTCATCCGTCTATTTTACTAAAAATACCCCTCTGGTACATTTTTGGCTCACTTATGCCCTTTTAACTCAGGATCAACACTAAATTTTGTCTAATCTTTTTTTAAAGTTCACATGATATTTTATGACTGATCCAAACAAATTATAATAATTAAAACCAACCTTAACAAGTATTTGATGTTTTTCAAATTTCGAAAAAATTATAATAATTATATGCCCAAACATGATTTCTGAATTCTATTCCACTTAATTAGTACTAACAAAGTGAAGAAGATTATAATCTTTAAGATAATAATACCAAGGAGCACCCTCAAATTTTAAGTCAAGCTAGTAATTCTTGCCTAAATATCTCACTAATGCTCTGTTTTATCAAAGGAGATGTTTCGGCTAGTGCACATCTATTCGGCTTACTAGATCTCCATCACATTTAATTTCTTGAATGGTTACTCAACTTACGAGAATATCTCATCGATGTTATTTTTATATTTTCAGTACACTAAAGTCATTCAACTTTTATAAATATCTTATTGAAGTTAAACTTTTTTAGGACAACAAAGTCAATAACTATCGTCTTTTAACTCGGAAAATATAAAACACACCTAACATATCATATTAACTTCTTTTTTTTCTATAATAAACGTACATATTATTAATATGACCCCAAGAGCTGGTTTTCTGTCTGTATATATACAAACTTAATTAGCTGTCTAACAATAGAAATAATATGTACAATTGACTATGAGACATAGGCTTTTTGAATAGGACTTGTTAGTTAAAAAGAAGGGTAAAATGAACCTTGACCCCACTTAAGTGATCTAGGTTTTGGGAAGCTAAAAGTATATATATTCTAAAAAAGATATTTATTTTAGAGAAAGTATCGTGTTTAAGTGGTTGAGAACATCTCACGCTGAAATAATAATAAGTGAAACAAAGGTATTTGACTAAGCTTTTAAAAAACAAATAATAAGTGTGATTTGAGTAATAACTCAAGCACGTGAAAATTGCTACTCTAATATTAGCAAAAGTGCACAACTTGTTACTTTTCAAAAGTATTTTTTCGAAAAAACACTTTTGACAAAAAAAAACATTAATTATTCAGAATAAACAGAGTTTGGAAGTTTGATCAAACAGGCTAGAAAAATCAGTATTGTACCAAGTCTATGGTTTGTCTATAAATTGAAGTCCTTTGATGCACTAACATGACAAGAAAACCAAATTGAGGAGAAAATGAAGCACTTAGTAATTAGTTGTGCCATGTCAATGGAAAAGCAAAAGCACTACATTGCCATGCTCCTCACACAAGCTATTTTTGCAGGCATGGCTTTGCTTTCTAAATCTGCAATATCTCAAGGGATGAACCCTTATGTTTTTGTGACTTATCGTCAATCATTTGCTATCATCGCGTTAGCCCCCCTCGCTGCCTTCTTTGAAAGGTTATTAATTAATAATTCGCGATTTTTTAGTAGTGTATGTACAAGCTTAACAACTATATTGTATATATGCAATTTTCAACTTTTTTGTTTTAACTAAAACAGAAAATCTGATGTTCCTTTATCCTACAACATCATATTGAAGATCTTTCTTATGTCATTACTTAGGTAAGTTCACTCTTAATTATTTAATTTATTATATGTTAATCATTAGCCTCACTTGATTAATTTGGTTACATTTTTTTTTCAGCACTCTAAGTTTGGATCTATATTATTTTTCCATACATTACACCACAGCAACATTTGCTGCAGCCTCCACTAACTTAATTCCAGCCATCACTTTTTTTATGGCAGTAATTTTAAGGTACACTTCAAAGCTACCTAAGTTGATAGTCTCTCTGTTCACCTTTACTTGTCATATTTCATTTCATGAGAGTCAACTTAATTAATTTTCGAAGCTAACTTATTCATTATTTTTAATTTAGATATTCGAAAACTATACTATATGAAAAATCACATCTTAAAAAATTGGTCATAGTCTATGCAGTTTGACTCTCTAGAAACAAAATGTAACAAGTAAACATGAACATAGAGGGAGTATTAAGGAACCATATGTACTTAATGTTCTGTTATTTAAAAAAAATAATCAAATATACAGAGTGGAGGCTCTTGCAATAAAGAAGTCACATGGAATGGCAAAATTGTTGGGTTCTTCAATTGGTGTTACAGGAGCTTTGGTATTTGCCTTAGTTAAAGGTCCACAATTGAACTTCATGAATTGGTTCAAAGGGAACACAAGGGGAACTCATAGCTCAAATTTGAATTATAGTTTGAAGGAAGAGTGGTTAAAAGGTTCACTAGTCATGGTTTTGGCCAACATTACATGGTCTCTATGGCTCATTTTACAGGTATATTTAATTACATCTGGGCCCGAGTCAATTTAAGTGTCTTACTTTTCGTAAAGAGTGTCTCTTTCTATAGATAGTAAAGAGTATCTGACAAGTTTAAGATCACGAGATTTAAAGAAACTCTGATTGTTTCTTTTTTTAGGTTCCTATTGTGAAACAATATCCAGCAAAGCTTCGTCTTGCCACTCTATATTGCTTGTTTAGCTGGATACAATCTTCAATTTGGGCCATGGTGATGGAAAGGAATATATCAGCATGGAAGCTAAAATGGGACATTAATCTTTTTTCAGTAGCTTACTGTGTATGTTTTCTTAACATAATCTTCAACACCTCAGTCATAGAGCACCGTTATGTCTTTTTGACACTTTTAGTTGATAAAATTACCACGTGCGACCTAATTTTTTTTTCATAGGCCAAACACGTAGAAATTCTTTTTAATTTTGGATGGTAGTGAGATTTGATCTCAGGAACTCTGTTTGCTCTGATATCATGTTAAAGTGTGTGACTATCTCATCTAAGAGCTTAAGCGGTTAGAAAAAACATATTTTTATTATTTAATTATATTCTAAACAGACACCACTTAAAATAAAAGTTAAAGATTCTTATTTTCCGACTCAACACAAAGCGCGATGTTTCTCGCCATATGGATATCATGTTTTTTTTTTCTCTAAGTGGGTTGGAAATTATTTTTTGTTTTTCTTATGTAGTTCTACGTGGATATCATGTAAAGTGAGTTGATGATATGGCAACCTACGTGTATTATTTTTCTCGTAACAAATTTTGTAACTTGGTGTAATAAATTGAAAATTAGATGAACATCTATGAAATTCATCCTTTTTGTTGTTTATGGCATAAATTATTGGTTTTTACTTTTACTATGTAATATAACTATTCACCAAAAACATTGCAGGGTTTGATTGTTACAGGTTTGACATATTGGATACAACTTTGGACTGTAGAGAAGAAAGGGCCAGTATTTATATCTATGTTCACTCCATTATCACTCATCATAACTGCCATAGTGTCAGCATTTTTGTGGAAGGAAACACTTTATGTGGGAAGGTAATACCGCGATTTCCATCTTGTTCAACAAAATCATGATGCAGTAAATCATTAAATTAGTCCATATACTCAATTTAAATGAATATGATTTATACTAGATATACGTAACGTTTTTGCTAATATTCAACTTAAATGGTTCGATTCTTTTATAATTAAACTTCAAATACTCAATTTTTTTTTTGGCAGTGTATGTGGAGGAATATTGCTAGTTGGTGGGCTTTACTTGGTCCTATGGGGAAAGAATAGAGAAGCAGAGAGGGAAATAGTGGAAATCAAGGATGGAATTACAGTAATTTAATAGGACAATATTGTATACTCCCTGTCACAGTTTAAATGATATAGTTTGAATTTCAAAAATTAAATAAGAAATTCTCTACTGTTATATGTTTGTATATATCTGTCAAATATTTTAAATTGTTAATTCATATGGCTTATAGTACTTTTATTTATCAGAAACTTTAAAGATTGTATATCCATATGAATAGTCAAAATAAAAAAATTTGACTCTTAATTAAAATCTTAATTATGTCATATAAATTGAAACGAAGAAAGTAATATACTTGGAAATATTTGTATATCCAAAGGAATTTCTAGTCCAATATTTCACATTGGACATGATCCAGTATTTGGGCCCGATACAAAGTTCCACTCTCAGTATGATTAACTTAAAAGAAAATAAAAACATAAAGCTGAAGTCTGACACTACACAATATTACCACGATGCTTTTATTTTATTATATAATTTTTATTTTATAACACGTTATCAACATGATATTTTAACCTTTTTGAGGGATTAACTCAGCTTCTTCTATCCGTGAGATTCGGTGTTGACCATGACGGACTTGTGGATAAATTGTTAGATCGTTCACAAAAGTATAAATTGGGTAACTCATTCCAATTCTATTTTACAATCACTTTTAGTAGTTTGCAATTATGATCTCTTTTACATGTTTATTGTTTTCTTGGAGTAAAAGACATAAATTTGTTGAGCACTTCCCTGAATATACTACCATTCTTCTCACTGACGTCATAGATACAAGAAAATTTGTTGTATAAAACTTTTATTAATTTGTTAATTTTAATTAGCGATTTATAGTTTCACTCTTTAACAAATAATAATAATAAATTAGGAGTTTCAATATTACTTTCTTTAAATAGATATGTATCCAAGAAAAGGAGTCAGTTAACTAATTAAACACCCGGTGCATTTTATTTTAATTTGCTTTCACACAATCATATTTAAGTGATCCCACCCACTAAAATTGTTAAACTCAAAAGTATGTGAATGATAAGTAATGCAATTATATATATATTTTTTAAACTTAACTTACTTATATATAAAATTATAAAGTGGGAGTATGTTTAAAGGTTCAAGAGTGAGTTTTATGACACTTTGACCTATTATGTCATTGGTTAAGGGAGAGACGATATATTCAAGTTTTATTGCACTAATAAAATAAGACATCGAGTTTGACACCATGATGATAAGATTTTAGGTTGAAGTCCCATCATATTTTGGTCTACCACATCTTTGAATGGACTAGACATTGTGTTAAAGTCCCAATGCAATATGTTGATGATATAATGAAAACTGAGAAAATTGATATGCTCTTGATAAAAATTGTGAAGTCCATCTCATTGAATATGCTCCATTCTTTGAAGTGAATATGATAGAAATACTTCAAAATTCCGAAAGATGACAAGATAATTTATGATTAGACATATACATATGGACGTGAAGGGACAAAATTATAATAGTCACCATTGTGATAATTATAAAAGAAAGAATATTATGAGTTCTCAAAATGACCTATTAAAGAGCGAAGGTAATTTTTGTCATCAAATTTGATATGAAAGGTATTGGGCACAAAATTACTGTGTAAACTAATTTGATTTTATAAATCCTCTATAAAAATAAAGAAATGTAAAGTGAAGATGCACTTGATCTTTGAAAAGTGATGTCGAGGTATGTCATATGAATATGATAAATTTTAAAGTATGACAATTAACTTCTAATGAAAAAATTTATAATAATTATGAAGCATGTATATATGATTATAGTCAGTTCCTCAAAGAGAATGTGACTTGTGATAAGTATCATGAAAAGTCGACCATTCTTGAAAGTGAATGTGTCAAGTGATGATGTATCACGACCCACAAACGAACGTGATGACACTTTTCTAATCCCACCAAGACAAGTCAGCCTCAACCCAACGAAAGAAAGAAAATGCGGAAAACAGTAAAGCAAGAACAAGACAAATGCGGAAAACTTATTCATTCTACACATTGCCCAAAAGATGATTGTCACGTGTACAAGTCACTAATAAAAATATAAAATTTAAAGATAAATACAAGTGTCAGTCTTTCTTTCTCAAGTAGAACAAAGTTTAAAAGAAAAAGGAAAAGAGGGTCCGCCAAGATGACAAGCAGCTACCTCTTAAATCCTTCACGAGCCTAGATTGTTAGGAGAAGAAGAAGATCACACGGCTTTGGGGTCGGAACCTACACAAGTGTAGAAACAAGGGGTGAATACCAACAACACGGTACCTAGCAAGCAACCTACTAAACAAAACAACTAGCTAGAAAACAAATACCCCTCACACTCCAACTGAAACTTCTCAACTACAACATGCACAAAAGTCAGCTCAACCTATAAATTCTACAAAACACGGCTCACAGGCCCAATATTCACACTTCAATCTTCATAATCAACAATCAACAACTCGAATAAGTCAATTTCAATAACAAGTAGTTCAGTCACACATAACAAGTACATCAATCACAATCCACAGGTAAATCACTCATAAGCATCAAATGCATCAAGTCTCAATGATCAATCTCTTGTCGGGATCATTTTTTATCGGCACAATATCATTAGCCGGAATCATTTCCCATTGGCTATATCAGATCACTAGCTGAAACCATTTTCCATCGGCTTGATAACAATCGCCAGCAAAGACCTCGGCATAACAATACTCGCCGGCAAAGACCTCGGCATAATAATATTCGCCGTTAAAGACCTCGTCATAACACTCGCCGGCAAAAACAACAACATAATAACACTCGCCGGTAAAGACGGCATAATAACACTCGCCGGCAAAGACCTCGACATAATAAACACTCGCCGGCAAAAACCTCAACATAATAACACTTGCCTACAAAGACCTTGACATAATAAATCATCATATGTCTCATCACGACGCCCATAATAAATGCATACAAGCAATATCAAAACACATGATAATTTTAAAAAAAAGTCTGTAAATGCGGAAATGGGCGTTAAAAAATGGTATGAGTATACGTTGAGGTTCCTAACTCATTACAGAGGTCCTCATAAAGTTTTTTGAGAAATTTTTTTAGGTGTTCCGGGGTGCCAGATCCATGGGCTAATACACACAAAAATTGAGGAATTTGGGTAATTCCTAAAAGAGGGTCTGTAAATGCGACAACAGGCGTTAAAAAAATGGTGTTAGTATACCTAGTGGTTCCCAAACTCATTACGGAGGTCCTCAAAAAGTTTTTTGAGAAAACAATTTTGGGTGATTCGGGACGCTTGATCCATGGGCCAAAATACACGAAAAATTGAGAAATTTGGGTAACTTCTAAAATGGGGTCAGTAAATGCGGAAACGGGCGTTAAAAAGATGATGTGGGTATGATGGTTCTCCAACTCATTATGGAGGTCCTCATAAAGTTTTTTGAGGAAAAAAAATTTGGGTGCTCCGGTGCGCCAGATCAATAAGCTAATACAGACGAAAAATTGAGCAATTTGGGTAATTCCTAAAAAAGTGTGTATATGCATAATCAGGCGTTATAAAAATAGTGTGAGTATACATGGTGGTTCCCCAACTCATTACAGAGGTCCTCACAAAGTTTTTTGAGAAAAAAAAATTTGGTGCTCCGAGGCGCCAATTCTATGGGACTAATACACATAAAAAATTGAAAATTTTGGGTAATTCCTAAGAAAGGGTCTGTAAATGCGGAAACGGGCGTTAAAAAAATGGTGTGAGTATATGTGGTGGTTCCCCAACTCATTACGGAGGTCCTCATAAAGGTTTTTGAGAAAAGAAAATTTGGGTGCTCCGAGGCGCAAGATCTATAGGCTAATAAACACGAAAAATTTAGAAATTTGGGTAATTCCAAAAAAAGAGTCTTTAAATGCAAAAACGGGTGTTAAAAACTGAGTATACATGGTGGTTCCCCAACTCATTACGGAGGTCCTCATAAAGTTTCTTGAGAAAATAAATTTAGGTGCTCCGGGGAGCCAAATCCATGAGCTAATACACATGAAAAATTGAGTAATTTGGGTAATTCCTAAAAAAGGGTTTGTAAATGCGTAAACGGAGGTTAAAAAAATGGTGTGAGTATACGTGGTGGTTCCCAACTCATTATGAAGGTCCTCATAAATTTTTTTGAGAGAAATTTAGGGTGCTCCAAGGTGCCAGATTCATGGGCTAATACACACGAAAAATTGAGGAATTTGGATAATTCCTAAAAAAGGGTCTATAAATGCGGAAACGCACGTTAAAAATGCCGTGAGTATACATGGTGGTTCCCCTACTCATTACAGAGGTCCTCATAAAGTTTTTTGAGAATAAAATTTGGGTGCTCCGGGGCGCCAGATATATGGGCTAATACACACGAAAATATTGAGGAATTTGGGTAATTCATAAAAAAAGGTCTGTAAATGCGAAAACAGACGTTAAAAAAATTGTGTGAGTATATGTAGTGGTTCCCATATTCATTACGGAGGTCCTCATAAAGTTTTTTGCGAAATAAAAATTTGGGTGCTTCGAGACGCCAGATCCATGGGCTAATACACACGAGAAATTGAGAAATTTGGATAATTTCTAAAAAAGAGTATGTAAATGCGGAAATAGGTGTGTAACACGCCAGAAATTTTTTGAGCTAAGCCTTGAACCGTTTTTCGTAGTGAGTGATATTTTACCAAGGAATTAAAAATTTCTTAAGTGTTAAGGTCACTATATGTAGCACCTTGAGTTCCAAGAAGAACCAAAGAGAAAAGCATTCAAGTCATTCTTAAGTTTAGGGTCAACTTCAAACGACCATAACTTCTAGTACAAGATGCGTTAGGTAAGCTAAAAGATAGAAAACTAAATCCCTTTGAGTCCTCTTTCCAACGCCACTGAGTTTGCTAATTTCTGAGTTCTGAGTAAAAAGTTATGACTGATTTACTAACGTCGCGCAAACCTGCCAGTAGCTCCGCGACGCGGAGCCAACACGGACCTCACTGCCTGTTGAAAGATCTTTTCCACTCCCAGCTCGTTTTAATTATTTATTTAGGGGTATTTTAGTCCTAAAAACCCTTAGGAGGTTATCTAAATTTCCCTAAACGAGTAGAAAATCAGTTTTCT